TACTACTACTCCTGCTGCTGCTGATAAAATTTGCGAGACTAGCAGCACCTTCGGTGGCAAGAGTAGCAGCATCAGCAACAGCTTGGCGGTGGTGGCGCAGGTGACAGTAGGAGTCGCATAGAGCTGACAAAATCTCATGGCCTTCAAAAGTCGAGAGTCTCCCCACTAGGCTCTGCAATCCACTTCTCTGTCTCAAATGTCGCCTTCAGTTCGTGAGCTCCTTCCGCGGCCTGGGTGAGATAGCTGGTGGTGTAAACGTTGACTTAAATGAACGTGCTTGTACCCGATAACTCAAGGGCTTTTCCATGCTGGAAAGCACAGGCATGTGATATACGCTTGACATTATCCGACCCCTTTGTCTTTGCAGACTCCTTCGTCCCAACTTAGTAAGTAGAGCCGTGTTACCCTCAAATACTGCAGCTCGTACGCTTCTCGAAATTCGCTCCGATGCTGAAGTGACTGAGACCCAGGCAAGATGACTGAACACGGCTGGCTGTTGGGATGCAGCATCGTCGGCTGGTTCAGCCTCCAACATGGGTGCAGCGATGATGCTGATGAGAACGACGATGAGCACGCGGAAGAAAATGATGATCGCGGTGCTGGTCATGGATTTCTTTGCGTTGCAACCATCGTCAATAACAGACCTAAGCTGCTGATGTTCGCAGTAGGTACCAGTGTCGTTGTGACAAGGTTGTCGGTGTTCGTGATGATGATGATGATGATGATGACGATGGCTTACCAGTCTGGAATCACAATTCCTGGCGAGTCTCCGGCGGCGGTGCTGTGCAACTCGGGATTATATGCAGAATGACTCGCATTAGCGAGCCAGCCGCTCCGCAAGAACAGGAACATGACCTCGCTGAAACTCGCGTGTACAATGATCAAGGCAATGAACAAATCATCTAATTCGGGACCACGCTGAAGCTAAGGAACAAGGCTAAGTCAGGTTTCGGTAGTCTGGTCGACAGACCTCAATCACTGGTGAATGTCCAAGAATCAAGACTTGAAGCCCTAGCCCTAAGCCTCTCAAAACCGCGTAAACCCCAAACCAAGCGTATCCCTAAGAGCCGGTGCACCAGTGTAGAAATCGTCATCCTCTGGACCCAAAAAGGCGAAATCAGCAATGCAGGGAAGAAGCCGGGAATGATCCGGAAGAGAATCATGGTACCGAGTGTCAGTCTGACTACTTCGTCCCGACATGACTACCAGAACTTCAAAGAACCATGGCTGCACTTACGCCTGCCATTAAAAATTTTGGTATCCCACGGCTACTGCAAGTGTAGGACATTTTTGGAGTACCTATGACGAGCGGATGCTTTCAGGTCTAAGCATACCAATTTTACAGTTATTGTGTTGTTAACTCCAACATGTACTGCTAACTTTTGTACTATTTTGTACTGGCAAAAAAGGGGTTAGCCTTGAACAAGGTCGACTGTGACTGCGACTGCTTCTGTTCTTCTTGTACCTGCTAGGCTTTACGTGCGTTCCCTCCTGCCAACTGTTACAAAAGGGCTGTATCTAATATCGTATTGTACTTCTTATGAAGGCTGCACGGCACAACATTGACACGACCCTATACATCCTAAAGCCTAACTGGCCAAACTCTGTTGCTACCTCCAACACCCTAAGCGTCTTCAAACTTCGCGCAAAAAAAACTCCAAACCCTGAAACCCCCAAGCCCTAAACGGCTTCAAATTTCGCTCCGAAGTCTGGACCCTTAGCGGACATAGCCCCTCTGCCCTGGGCACCTCAGCGCCGATCTGGGGGAAAGGACCTGCCAGGTGACCACCTGCTGGGCGCGCAGGTTTAGGGTTAAGGGTTTGGGAAGCTCTTCACAAGGCCCAGCGACTTCAGAAGCAAAAGGATCCTAATGTAGGGGCCTTAATAATTGGAATAGGGTTTGGGGGTTCCTTCTTATAGCTCTAGAACAGTATTCACCAAAACCCTATTCTAATAATTAAGGCCCCTAGAAATTTCATGTTTGAGGCATCGGCAGCCCATTGAGGGAGATTCCCGGAAGCCCGTTTCGTCATGAATAAATTCTGCGGCCGTCACTATGCCTTGCCGGCCTCGCCATAGCATAAACTTCACCATCCCCACAGGATGCTGTGGCTGCAGCTCGTGGACGGTTTGCAACAGCACCCGAAAAGCGTTAGTGCTTGCGCACATCATGAAGGTGCGAGCGGCTGGTGACCAATCCAGCATGCGACTCGTGTAACTCGCGACTGCACAGGAACAGATATGCTAGGAGAGGGCGCGCATGCGTGGAAAATGATGTATCAGTGGTTGTCGACTGCATGCGGTGCAGGCCATTGCGCATTGCTAGGGTTGGAGGTCCACTACGGTTTGGGCAGGCGTTTCACTGCCGTAAGTCGGCGATATTAACGAGGCTGAAGCAGGATTGAAAGCTGCAACAGCCATGCTACTCGCAACCTTGCGTTGAACACAGCTCCAGGCTCTAGCTCACAGATTCTGACAGCTCCCTAAACTTCCCGAAACACTTAGCAAGCATCCCGGCTGAACTGCCATCATTGGCACGCAGGCCACAGAACTTCGAAAAATTGTGCACCGGCTGCGGATTCCGTGTACTTCTGCGTAGTGTAGGGGCCTTAATAATAAAAATAATAATGATAATAATTAGAATAGGGTTTTGGGGTATATTATTAAATATAGGACCCCCGAAAATATTCTCGACTTTATATTAGGAGGCCTGTGATGTCCGGCGGGAAGAAGACATGGGCAAAGAGGAATGTGCCGACGCGCCGTCCTCGCACTCATGGGTCGAGGGTTTAGGGTTTAGGGTGTTTTATACAAAATTGACTTCAAAACCTACTGTATTAGTTTAACACGAGGCTGCGTGAAAGCCCACGGCGAGCATTCCAAACACAAGCGAAATCGCGACGAAGGCCCTAAACCCTGAACCCTAAACCCTAAAGGCTCTGATTCAAGCTGTTGCTATATCCCTGGGGCTAGAACCGTCGAAGCTCGAGTTGCAAAAACCCAACACCCTGAAAAGCCTAAACCCCAAACCCTCGAGCACCTCTTGGCACATGGAGTTCCGAGGCGAGTTTGCCTTGCAGTAGCGATTGAGGTTTGGGGTTAAGGGTTTAGGGTTACAGAAAGGTTAAGGGCTTAGAGTTAGGATTGAAGGGTGAATTTGAGGATTCGTATACTGACTCCTATGATCTTTGAGGCTTTAAGGGCTTTGGAGATGCTGAGCTCTGAGGATTCCGCGGGTCGGTGTGGCAAGGCAGAAACCACACTGCGTGGGGCTGCCAAAGGCTGGTTTGCACATAGGCCCTTACCTTATATGATGTTGAATATGAGCCCCGACAAGGGACTACTATGGGGCCGGTAGGGTTTAGGAGTGGCTTACCTTTAGCACTCCTAAACCCTAAGCCCAAGACCCATCAATGACAAGCAGCAGCGCGACAGTGACTCAGTGCGTAAGCATCGGAGTGTAACGCGAAAGGGTATGTAGAAATGCCCGGTAGTGAGAATCATTGTAGTGGTCATAGCAGCAGCAGGATGCGAGGAATGAGCGAAGCATGAACCAGCTATTAGCATCAGAATGCGAAGAATGGGCACACGTTTAACCAGAAGCATGGTCGCAGTAGCATAGTGGCGGGTACCAGCAAAGAAACCGTTACTACATCTGTTTGTTTATGAGGCGCGAAGATAGAAGCCTCAACCCCACATGCCTCCATGGAATTTGCAGGGGAGTTCGCTGGCACAGAAGCTGGTCTCGGCCGGTTGATCGGCGGCGATCCTGGCCAAAATGACTGACCGCACGTCCTCAACGCTAGGCCCGTTTCCCTAAACTGATCCAGCCAAAACAAGGGTTTCGGGCTGCGGGTTTAGGGTTTAGGGGAGCTCCGGACAAAGGGACACAGGATATATCCTAGCAAGCTTCAGACCTTACAGCCAGAGCCCCTAAACCCTCAACTTGGCCATAAGCCCTAAACCCTCAACTTTGCTTCGGAAGCCGACAGGAACCCCGTCCTGCTATGAATGTCGGCTTTAGGGCACATGGGTCTAGGATGGTTTAGGGTTTAGGGTTACCTTTCATCCACGAAGGTGCTAGCGGTTCCTGCATGGGAAAAAAGCAACTTCAAGAACAACCAAAGACTCCGCACCCTAACAACCCCCAAACCCTATCCTGGATGTAGTGTGAAGACCCCTTGCAACATTCCACGAGCCCTCTATATATCACATAAACCCTTTGCCCTTTGCCCCTTTTACCACCCACTTCAGCACCTTAAACCATGAAAGCCATTCAGAACGACGTAACAGATCATATAAACGATGAAAGCCCTTCAAGCCTCATAAGGCCCTTAAGCCCTGCACCCTAACCCCTAAACCCTAAGCCCGAAACCCCGAGCCCTAAATCCTAAACTCCAAACCCTAAATCCTAAACTCTAAACCCTTAAGCCTAAATCCTAAACTCTTATAAAAAAAAGCCTAAACTCTAAACCCTAAACCCTAAATCCTAAACTCTAAACCCCTGAGCCCTAAATCCTAAACTCTGAAAAAAAACAAACCTAAACTCTAAACCCTTAAGCCTAAATCCTAAACTCTTAAAGAAAAAACCTAAACTCTAAACCCTTAAGCCTAAATCTTAAACTCTAAACCCAAAGCTCTAAACCCTAAACCCTCGAAAGCGCTGGACAGACCGACCTCGCGCTTCCGAGGACGTCCGGGAGCTTGGCGATCCCGGCCCAGGCACGCTGCGCGCGCGCCGGCGCTGTGCGAGCAGCCCGGCCTCTGCGTGGGGGGGGGTTAGGGTTTAGGGTTTAGGGTTTAGGGTTTAGGGTTTAGGTGGGGGTGGGGAGGGGGAGGGGAGGGGATTTCGTGTTTCGGGTTGTCAGTTTTTGAAGTTTCGGGTTTCGGGTTGAGTTAGTGTTTCTTTTCTTGGTGAGTTTAGTTGTTTGGTTGGTTAAGTTTAGAGGATGGCCTGGGGGATCAGGGGAATTGGGCAACGAGGTCTTCCAAGTAGGACAAACAAGTTAGCACGGATGTGGCTAACATCCCACAACAACCAGGAAAAAGGCCTGCGAATGTAGTGAGGGGCTCATAGATGCTCTAACTACTGATCTACTGGTTGCCGCAGCTTGCCCTCTCCCAATCTTCTCTCAATGTAGCCTCCTGCCACAACCTCTGTATACCCCAGTGTCGCCCGAACCCTACATCCCTAAATCCCTAAACCCTATAATAAGCCCTAAACCAACCCGAAGCCACTTGAAATCCTACAACACACAAGAGCCCCGGGTAGCCTTGAGAGTCACATGCGCGTGGACAAGCTCCTCCTGGCGGGCACAGGCCCAAAGTCATGTGGAGGGTTTAGGGTTTAGGGTTTAGTGGGTTAGGATGTGTGTGTGTGTGTGTGTGCGTGCGTGTGAGGTGTTAAGTGTTCGATGTTGTGGCTCTTCGATGGTCCAGTCTTCCAGGCTGCTGCGCTGTGTGCAGCTCGTGTCTCTAAATACTTGTAGAGACTCTATACCGTCCCCAAAAGACACCCCCCCACTCCAAACCCTACAAAATCGTGAGCAGAACACTGTCAAGATCCTAAACCCTAAACCCTAAACCCTAAACCCTAAACCCTAAACCCTAACCCCAAAACAGTAAGCGCTAAACCCTAAATCCCGAAAGCCCTAAGGGCTAAATCACCTGAGCCCTTTTGGAACCTGATGCGAATCCTTTAAAGGAGCCCCAGGCTCCGAAGCCCTAATCCAGAAACCCCCGAAGCCCAAAGAAAACCCTAAACCGGTTTAGGGTTTAGGGTTTAGGGTTTAGGGTCTGAAGCCCCATAAATCCCTCAGCCCTTCAAGGCCCTGAACCCTCAAACCCTTAACACAGGGTCTGGGGTTTAGGGTTAAAGCCCGAATCCCGAAAACCCCCAAATCCCTGTAAACCCTTCAGGGCTCTAAACCCTTAAACCCTTAAGCCCGAATCCCTAAAAACCCTAAAACCCTAAAACCCTAAACCCAGAAAAACCCTAAAGCCCTTAACAAAAAGGAGTTTAGGGTTTAGGGAATCCTGAAAACCCAGAGCCCTAACGGGCGCCGTCCTCCTCCACCCGGAGTTTCGCAAGCTCTTGCTCAAGCTCCTGGAGATCCTCGGCAGCCTGCAGCGCAGCGTCGCCGTGGGCTGAGGATTTAGGGCTTAGGGCTTAGGGTTTCGGTTTGGGGTTTAGCATTGAGAATCTAGGGTTTAGGGGTTTAGGGCTTAGGATTTCGGATCTAAATTTTGAGACCTAAACCTTGAACCCTAAAACCTAAAGCCTGAACCCTAAACCCTGAACCCTAAACGCTAAAAACCCTGAACCCTAAATAGAAACCCTAAACCCTGAACCCTAAACTTAGGGTTTGCTAAGCCCTAAACCCTAAACCCTAAACCCTAAGAATGTCTTAAGGCTTGTAGGGTCCCAACCTTCGGGGCCTTCAGGGTTCGGGGCTCCTTTTAGGGTTTAGGGTTTAGGGTTTAGGGTTTAGGGTTTAGGGTTCAGGCTTCAGGGATCTAGGCTTTTAGCGATTTAGGGCTTAGGGTTTAAGGTTTTGGGCTCTTGAGGATTATGGTTTAGGAGTTTAGGGTTTTGGCTTGAAGGTTTTAGCAAGGGTTGCGAACCGAAGCAGGTGCTAAAAGGGTATCAAGTTTTTAACCTTACAAACAGCCTATTCAACAAAGTCGAAAACCATACCAAAAGCCTATAAACCTACTAAAACACACTCAAAGCCATACAACAACTCTGTAAAACCCTACTCAAACAACATGAGGAAACCTAAACCCTACAAGAACAACCCTAAACCCTAAACCCTAAACCCTAAACCCTAAACCCTAAACCCTAAAACCACACAACCACACAACCACCCTGCAACCCCCCGATCTGATGTAACTCCCCGTGCCTTCTCACGATCGCGCACATTGGAAGCTGCAAGCTCACGGTCTGCTGCCTCAGGCTGTTTGCGGATTCCGTTTCGAGGTTTAGGGTTTAGGGTTATAGGGTTTAGGGCTTAGGGTTATAGGGTTAGGGGTTTAGGGTTTAGGGTCATTGGGTTTAGGGTTCAGGGATATACGGTTTAGGGCTTAGGGCTTAGGGTTTGGGGTTTAGGGTTCTCTTAACGGTTCGGTTCATGGGGTATGTAGTATGGGGTTCTATAGTAGGGCTCCCTTTAATGGCATTATGGGGTTCTCTTCACGGTTCATGGGGGATTATGGGGTTCTATAGTAGGGCTCCCTTTAAGGGCATTCTGGGATTCTTTTGAAGGTTCCTTCAAAGGGTCCCTTTAGTGAGTCCTACGCTCCTTTTGCGGGCGGCTTTAAAGCATCCTGTAAGGTTCTATAGGGAGTTTAGAGTTTATGGTTTGGGTTTAGGGTCTATGGCTTAGGGCTATATGCTTTTGGAGTTCAGGGTTTAGGATAACATAGGGTGGGGGAGTGGATGTCTTACAGTTGCAGTATATAGAGCTTCTAAAGATTGCGGTAGTGGTTAGGATATGCTGTTGGGGGTTTTGAAGGATGGGATTCAGGGTTTCGATGCTATAGAACCTAGAAATCTATATCAGGGAACCTTGCAGCAAAGTACTACACATTTTCTCTGCAACACGGCTCTAGTGCGTCGAGCACTGTAGAGATTTAGGATTCCGGTTTCTGGGGTCTGGGGTTTTGATGTGCTAGGTTTTGGGGCCAGGCTCTGAAGCCTAGTAGGCCAAACAAAGCGCTCTAAGCCCTAGAAGTGCATAAGGGGCCAGAAGGTGTTTACAATATCGTTTAGCTTCCTGTTCAAGAAACCTGTTTTCCCTGTAAACATTATGAAGGGTTTGACAAGAACCCTCTGGCAGGATCATAAAGCGAAGCTTCAAACAAGGAGACACTAATCGTAGGACCATTGTAGGAAAGCTCCGAATTCTTACGACCGTTGTTCGAAACCCCTGACTGGCCGAGAAGTTCTGTGTGCTGCAGATCAGAAGACGTCCGGCCAGCTCAGCTAACAAACCTTCTGAAACTCGAAGCAACTACCAGTAACAGTAATGGCTAATAACAAGGACGAAGCCTCCAAAGAATGCAACATCCGATTAAGCAGCAGTAACAACAACGACGACTACGACGAGAACGACGACGACGACGACGACGACTACCATTCCTGCTGATGCTGCTGCTCGTACTTCTGCTGCTGCTGCTGCAGCAACTACTACCACAACTACTGCTACTACTCGTTAGGGTCTTCGGTTTACACATTGTTGAAGGCTTTCTCGTGTCGGCACCCTTTCTCCTTCCAAAGAAGTCACACTGACTCGGCTTTTGAAGGAGCGGTGCCTGCTTCCGCTTCAGGTCCTCAACCTCGGCAGCAAGGGCACGCCACATCGGTGTCTTTCGAACCAAGGGCTGGGGTGTATATACATAATATATATATATACATATATAATATGTATATATATATATGTATACATACATATATCTATCTATCTATCTATCTATCTATCTATCTATCGGCAACCCTGCACCCTAAACCCTAAATGCTAAATCCCTAATTAGCCCTGAAGCCCTAATAAGCCCTAAACCCTAAATGCTCAACCCCTAAGCCCTAAACCTGTTGAAGTGAACGATGCTGTACGGATTCCGTCATTCTTGAAGCCCTCACAGAAACTGAAGAACGAACTACTAGGGTTTAGGGTCAGGGGTTTATGGTTAGGGTTTAGGATTGCTACAGTAGTCGAAGGCTAGAAGTATGGGCCCCTAATATGGACCCTTAGGCCTTTTCAGGGTCCCTTAAGGGTTCAAAAAGGGTACGTAGTAGGTAAAAAAGGGTCCCAGGGTTAAGGGCCCATACTAGGGGCCCATGGGTTCAACCTTCGAAATAGAAGCCTGAAAGCTGGAACATCATTATCCTCATGCGCTTAAGGTAAAGCAGAAGGGGTTCTAGCACTCATCCTCCTAGACCCATGTTCCAACTTTCCGGGGTTCGCTGTAGTTAGTACAAGGTTCGGAATTAATGGTGATACTATCTCCTCAGAGTCTCTGTACCGCTGTACTATAACATGCCCACACAACCTTCTTCACAACGTTCCCTATCTTCTGTATAAGTAGGAAACCTTGAACCCGAACCCGCTAACTCAATGACTACAAACATCCTTCCATAAGGGAGTAGCTTGACATCTTGACTCAGCTCAACCTAAAATAGCGTAAAACGTCGAATCTAGAACCACCCTGAAAAGGGAGGAAAAAAAACCTAAACCCTAAACCCTAAACCCTAAACCCTAAACCCTAAACCCTACACCCTAAACCCTAAACCCCTCCTGAACCCTCAAGGGCAGGGTTGAGGGTTTAGGGGTTCAGCCCCCTGCACGCCGGCCTCTTCCCTGAGGGCGTTTCGCTCCAGCGCTTGCTTCTGCAGCAAGTCCTTATCGGCTTCAGGGCTTCAGGCTTTAGGGCATAGGGCTTCAGGTTTTAGGGTTTTATTTTTAAAGTGTAATGGCGCCTCTTAGATTTTAGGGTTTAGGGTTTCAGGCTTTAGGGCTTCAGGCTTTAGGGTTGAGGGCTTCAGGTTCAAGGGTTCCGGTTTTAGGGTGGGGATTTATCTCGCGTTGATCAATTTACCCTGGCGCAGAAGCTGTCGTTTGTTCTTGCGAAATGCGGGGCTTTCGGATTCAGGGTGTGAACGTAGGTTTGAAGGGAGTCTCCCCCCAAAATAATATGGGTAGCTCTCTAAAATAGGGTCCCTTTTTAGGTCCCCAATATAGTACGGCACCCTTCTAATAAGGACCCCTAAAGGGACCCTAATTTAGAAAACTACTCATATAGGTAATTAAGTATTAAGGCCCCTATATTATAGGGTTCGGGAGTTCGTCACTTGGAGGGCTGAACATTGGACATTCCAACGCTCTCTATGAATGGAGCTGGTCGGGGGGAAGACACGGTGTTTTCCAGGAGCATGATGCTGCAAACAGTCGCTGAGACCCTACACCCTAAACCCTGAACCCCTAAACCTAAACCCTAAACCCTAAACCCCTAAACCTAAACCCTAAACCCTAAACCATCTGAGTCCACCCAGGAGCTGAGACCCTAGATCCACCCAGGATGCACAAATATGGCTCTCACAGCTGCATCCACCTCCGCACACTATGAACCGACAAGTCCTAAAATATGATAACCCATCCCAACAAGAAAGGGATGTAAGTAATGACCATTGGGTTTTGGATGGTTTTGGGCTACAGTACATCATAATCAAGTTGAAGCATAGACGGATTATAACCTGCTCTTATTACCTTCAGATTCCTACATTAGAAACCAAACAGCCGAGATGCGGAGAACTCTGCGTCCACCTTTGCAACATCCTTGGCCGCTTCCTGTTGAAGCTCCTTCGCCCCAAGCCAGCGAGGGAAGGCGCCCGACATGTATTTTTCTTTTGGTGGTGACAGTGGTGATGGTGATGCTGCGGGTCACAATGGTTCTGGTGGCCCTAAAATCCTGCGCACTATGATTCGATGCTTCAGATGATATTGATCATGACGGCGACGACGGCGATGGTGATGATGTGTCCCAAGCCGGTGAGCGTGGCCCTAGGATTGTGCAGCCAGGAGCCCTTGTTAAAGGGGTTTGTACCAGCTTGTTGGGCTGATTTCGGCAACGGTTCAGGGTTTAGGGTTTAGGTTTAGGGTATTACGGGATCCTTCAAAATAACGGGTCCTACTGCTTACACTTCTACACATGCGTCCCCGGCTGTACGCGGCAAGCATCTTGAAACATGAAGACCTGCAGCACTTCAATGGGAAACCATCATCGAACCAGATTTAACGCAGAGGCCTTAATATTTAGAATCGGGTTTTGGGGTAGAGTATACTCTGATTATAATTTGGAGCCTCCAAAATACTATTGGTAACTATTTAGATACTATTTAGGCCCTTATATTAACTGCTGACAAAACCCTGTCTTACGCAGCCCGCACTCCTGCAAATGCCGCTCCAGCTCGGCAATGGCTGCCTCCGACTCACAGTTCGTGGCCCGGACATTCTCCTGAACCTGGGACAGCTCCTGGTCCAGCTGGGAGCCTTAAACCCCCAAACCCCCAAACCCTAAACCCCTAAAGCCTAAACCCTAAACCGCAAAGCCATAAACCCTAAACCCCTAAACCCTAAACCCCTAAACCCTAAACCCCAACCCCAACCCCTAAACCCTAAACCGTTTCTCCACGTCGCAGTCCTGAATCAGCCCGAGAGCCTAGAAGCCAAACCCCCAAAACCCAACAGGTGCCCACTGCATTCCGAAAGAGACCTGCAATCCTGAAAGCCAAATATATATATATATATATATATAAAGAAAACAGCACGAAAGCAGGTCAGGGTGGACATCGGGTTTTGCTACCGAAGGACACGCCTCACTTCACAGGCCAGGAGGTTCAAACAATGACCAATGACGCCATGTCATCTAGTAGGGAGAGCAGGCCCCTAAACCCTAAACCCCTAATCCTTAAACCCCTAAACCCCCAAACCCTAAACCCTAAGCATTAAACCCTAAACCCCTAAACCCTAAACATAAACCCCAAACCCTAAACTTTAGGGCTGCAGGCTTTTAGGTTTCAAGGCTCTCGAGGCGGAAATTCTTGGGTTGGGCTTGCTTGCAACTACGGCCTGCCAGCAAGTTCGGGATAATGTTTGGGTCTAGGGTTTGGGGTTTAGGGGTTAGGGTTGAGGGCTAAGGGCCTTAATAATTAGAACAGGGCTCAATAGGGTTTAGGGGTTTGTTCTACTATAATCATAGCAAGGAGCCGCCCAATAGTATGGGTAATTACTAAGGCCCCTATATCAAACCCATGCGTCCCAGGCTCGTCAAATTAGCATCTTCCCTGCACATACTGTCCTGGGGTGAAGCTGTCCTTGATCATCCCCCTACACGTCTGTGCTGAAGCCGCTGTTGTTGTTTATCGCCCTATGCCTCCTAAAGCCAACTTTCAGGTTTTAGGGTTTAGAGCCCCGCAACTCCCCACCCTCAAGCACCGAACTACCTCACTACCTCACTGCCTCACTACCTAACTACCTAACTACCCTACGTCGCCCCCTTTTTTTCGATTCGACCACGCGTGAGCGTCGGACATGAAATCTGCCAGGACGGCAGCAGGACTGGAACTTGAGGGATGGATTGCCGATTGCGTTCGGGCCAGGAGACCCTGGTCCGCTAGGGTTTAGGGTTTAGGGTTTAGGGAGTATACTTCTTTTGTGTTTTCTAGGTTTTACGGCACCCTAAACCCTCGACCCTAATGTCAGGACTTTTAAGGGTTTGGGTTTAGGGTTTTNNGGTTTTAGGGCTTAGGGTTCAGGGCCGCAGTGTGCTTCTTTTGTGTTTCTTGGTTTTGGGGGCACCCTAAACCTTAGGGTCTAGATTTCAGCCTTTGCCTTCGAATTTCATGTAGGGTATTGCGAAATTCTCACAGGAGTTTGGGGTAGACCATTAACATCCGTGGCTTGGGGTATATAACTATACCTTTGTAGAAGTAACTTGTTTGGGGATTGTATCGAAATGCTGTTACTGACTATTCCAATCCAGATCTTAGCCTTTTGATAGCTTGTACATACGGTAAGAGTTTGTAAACTTAAAACGGTTAACAATTACGCACCGAGCTACTAAGATATCATCTACTCTGTCCTAGCGACTCCATAGGCATACCCATCACTCGCCGCGAATTCTTACATAAAGAAGTGCACCCCTCTGTGGGCAGATACTGCCACCAAAAATGCTGGGTAGTCGACATCGTCGGGTAGCGACTCAAGACTGGTTTCAAGCGCTGCGGACCCAAACGCTGTTTGCAGCAGGGGCTTCAGCGACATGAACCAAATGCAGAACTCAATTCAAAAAGTTCATTGAGGAGTGGCGCACACACCTTGTTGAGTGGTGACGTGCCTAAGCCATGTGGATAAACCTGGCATGCCGTCCTCTTTACAAGCACTACGAAACGAATCGTGCCGACACTCTGTACAACGATTTGACCGAAGTGTCAATCGGTGCCATGCTTTGCCTCCAGGGTCGTGGTGATCCCATGTGAGGGTGTAGACTTGGATTCGGCCGTGGCCAACGACAAACAAGTCTTTGGATTGGAAGTACTTCCTACACGCAGCTGTCGGGCGCTGCAGCTTCATTCTTTGCCGCGGTCATGTCCTGGCAGGACACAACTGATGCACAGTATGACTTGACGGCTGGGAAACTTCTGAAACAACTGCCTGGAAGCAACATTCGCAAATCTCACTGAATCACCCTAAACCCGAAACCCTAAACCCTGAATCTGTTAACATTGGCTTACTCCAACCTGAATTCGTCAAGGTCCCTCTCGACTCCAACTTCGCTTCAATCCCACGTTACCCAAAACCCTGACCCCGAAACAACAATAGAAACACACAATAGTAGTCGTGATAACAAGAACAAAATCGTACCACTAAGAACAAACATAATACGAGTACCGACTAACATTACGGAATGATAACTAGGAGTTAGGAGCAGGGGGACCCCCAGGGATATAGACCCTCTTAATAAGGCCCCTTTTAAGAGAGCCACACGCAGGGTTAAGAAGGGTCCCCTTGAAGGGGTCTCCCTAATGCTACCAAACCCTAAACACCTAAAACCCTAAACCCCTAAAACCCTAAACCCCGAAACCCTAAACCCTAAACACCTAAACCCTAAACACCTAAACCTATACCCCTAAAATCCTAAACCCCTCAACCCTAAACCTAAATGCAGGCTTTATATCATCAACCGTAACATGTCAACTCTGAGCCCTAGGCCTGGGTGATCTTGCAAGCCGAAATGTTAGCAAGGCTTTAGGGTATTAGGGCTTCAGGGCTTTAGGGGCTTAGGGTTTAGGGCTGTAGGGGTTTAGGGTTTTTAGGGGTTGAGGGTTTAGGGTTTTAGGGTATTTGAGTTTAGGAACCACGGGAACACTAAATCCACAGCAGTCCCCGCAACTAAGTCCTAAATCACAACACCGAGAAATCTTGAACCCCCCATCTCAAACCCCCGAGCTCTCAGCCCTCACACCTCCAATCTCATAACCCAACGTGAAAGCCCCAAATCTTTAACCCGCGATCCAAAAAAACCTCAAACATGAACCCTAAACCCTGAACCCTAAACCCTAAACCCTAAATCCTGAACCCTAAAACATGAACATAGCATCCGCGAGGCCTGAGTCACCCCGGAATACTGTATGGGGCCCTGCACAATCATGCTCGGGTTCTGGGGCATCTTATCCCTCAACTAACATGGACAGTTGTCAAAAACGGTTTAGGGTTTAGGGTTTAGGGTTCCCTTTTTGGGTCTTTATTATAATACGGCACCTATTCTTTAGGGTACCCCCAAAAGGGACCATAATTTTGACAACTACCCACATGGACAGTTGGGAACTAGGTGTCTAGCAACCCTAAACCCTAAAGCCCTATGGTAAACTCCAGGCTATGGCGACCCCCACCCACATTCGGTCCGTGTTGGTCTGACCGTCGACGACCTTCTCTTCCCCGATCTGGCTGCAAGGCCTCGCCGCAAGGGTTTCGGGTTTTGGGCTCGGGGTTTAAGGTTTGGGGTTTAGGGCTTAGGGTCTAGGGCTTCGGGTTTAGGGGCATTAGGGTCTCCTGGCGCTTGCCCACGTTGAGAGTTTTGGAGTCAAGCTTCTTTACGACCGCGCAAATCACCCTAAACCCTAAAACCCTAAACCCTAAAACCCTAAACACTAAACCCAAAAACCCAAAAACCCAAAAACCCAAAACCCTAAAACTCTAAACCCTAAAACCCTAAAGCCCTAAAACCCGAAGCCTAGAGTAGAGATCCTACTTGCCTTAAGCAATGAACCCAAAACCCTAAACTACAAGGGGTTTAGGGTTTAGGGTTCAGGGGCCTTAATAATTAGAATAGGGCTTTGGCGCCCATGATACTATAACTATAATAAGGAACCCCCAAACTAGTTTAGGTAATTATTAAGGCCCTTATATTAGATGCCCCCAAACCCTACTTGGAGGATCATGGGACTTAGTAAGTAAGGTTATAAGTCCCCTATAGTTGGGGATATAAGTAAATATAAGTATAGTTACCTTAATTATAACCCTACTTACTAAGTCCCACGATCCTTTGAGCATTCTAATGATGAAGCCCTAAACCCCTAAACCCTAAACCCAAACCCTAAACCCTAAACCCTAAACCCTAAACCCTAAACCCTAAACCCTAAACCCTAAACCCTAAACCCAAACCCTAGAGCCGCAGTGAACCCCAAACCCCCAGGTCGCATCCCTAGCGCTGGGCCCCCCACTGCTCTTGAACCCTAGGACACCAAGCTTTAAAATTCAGGGTTTAGGGTTTTAGGATGTAGGATTTAGGGTGTAGGATTAGGGCTTAGGAACTAGGATTTAGGGTCTAGGATTTA